GATTACAGGTGTGAGCCACCATGCTGGGCCCATACTCAGTTTAAGAAGGTAAGAAATGGCTGGGTGCAGTGGGTTATGCCTGTAATCCCAGCACTTTAGGAGGCTGAAACAGGCGGATTGCCTGAGGTCAGGAGTTCGAGACCAGCCTGGCCTATATGGTGAAATCCTGTCTCTATTAAAAATAGAAAAATTAGCCAGGTGTGGTTGTAGGTGCCTGTAATCCCAGTTACTCAGGAGGCTGAGGCAGGAGAATCGCTTGAACCCAGGAGGCAGAGGTTTCAGTGAGCCAAGATTGTGCCACTGCATTCCAGCCTGGGTGACAGAGCAAGATTCCATCTCAAAGAAAAAAGAAAAAATTTATAGGAAAGAAATGTGTAAATTCAGAGAGACTACCATTAATGATGACAAAAATTTTAAAGTTTGGCATTTATAGGCATAATTTGTCAGCAGTTAGAAAAATACGTTGTTGTCCAATGATCCAGGTAGAGGGGAACAATGCATTTCAAAATTTACTTCCCTTAGTAAACAGACATTCATATGATTCATTCTTAATATCTTCCGTTGGCCAGCTTGTTCTTTTGTATCACACTTCACCAAAAAAAGAAACAATTTACTCCAAATTGCTTTCTACCTACAGCTGTCAACCGGTTACTTTTAAAGGCCTCTGTCCTTAGTAACAAAAGGTTTGCCCACTGTGGGCCACACTGCCGACCCCATCAGGAGAGCAGAGACTTTCAGTGACAGCTTTGGTGGCTGTGATGAGTTTGTCGAAAGCCACCAGCTTCTCCCCTCACTCCGGTGCTGTATCCCACCGCGGAGGGTGGTGGATCCAGCTGCTTCTGCAGGAGCAGGCCCAACGACCCCACTCCATTCTGCCCTCTAAGCAGAGTCCCTCGGCCCCAACTTACCAATGGCTTTCTTCAGCGTCTCATAGGTGATCTCCTCGGCAGGCACTCGCTGAAGAAGGGACAGAGATGCTCAGAAAGGCAGTGAGTGGGGGAAGGAGGCAGCCCTGACACCCCCTGCTCTCTGGCAGCCCCTTGCTTCTTAGAACAAAGTCCCAGTGGGCAGGAAGTCCCTCAGGACACCCCCAGCCCCATCAGGGTCTTGGAAGCTCTCTGAGCAGCACAGAGGACAGAAATACAGCGGGGAAGCTCATTCCTCACCAGATTCAGTCTCAGAACAGAGTCCTGAGTCTCATGTAAAAGAATACACTGTTCCCTGCCCCCTCCTCAGGACTGTCCCATCAAGCACTATGGGAGGAAAATACTGCAATTTTATTTTATTTTTTTGGTTTTCTTTGAGATGGAGTCTCGCTCTGTTGCTCAGGCTGGACTGCAGTGGCGTGATCTCGGCTCACTGTAGCTCTACCTCCTGGGTTCAAGTGATTCTCTTGCCTCAGCCTCCTAAGTAGCTGGGATTACAGGTACATGCCACCATGCCTGGCTAATTTTTATATTTTTAGTAGAGATAGGGTTTCACTATGTTGGCCAGCCTAGTCTCAAACTCCTGACCTCGTGATCTGCCTACCTTGGCCTCCCAAAGTGCTGGGATTACAGGCGTGAGCCACTGTGCCAGGCCAGTACTGCAATTTTAAAACATCTTCAGAAAACACATCAGAAAATATTGGAAGCCAGAGGAGAGAGGTGACAAACAGAATCTTAAATGTAAATTTCAAGAACTGTTTATCAGTTCTGAAATCTTAAAAGTATTAAATCACCAACCAAGTCGACTTGAGCATTTAGTAAAGATAAGAAATGGAGGGTTAGAAGTGACAGGCCTGGTGCAGTGGCTCATGCTTATAAGCCCAGCACTTTTGAGAGGCCAAGGTAGGCAGATCATGAAGTCAGGAGTTCGAGACCAGGCTGGCCAATATAGTGAAACCCTTTCTCTACTAAAAATATGAAAATTGGCCAGGCATGGTGGCACACAATTGTAATCCCAGCTACTCGGGGAGTCTGAGGCAAGAAAATTGCTTGAAACCGGAAGCTAGAGATTGCAGTGAGCTGAGATCATGCCATGCCATGGCACTCCAGCCTGGGCGACAGAGAGAGACGTCATCTCAAAAAAAAAAAAAAAAAAAGAAGTGACAGGGCTCCCTTGACTACTGAGGTTCCAAGGAGTTGCCCCGCTCAGTCCTCTGCAGAGCCTATAAAAGGAGGTGAAAAATAATAAAACTCAAAGAAGGGAACTCCATAGATGCTGAAAATAGTAAAGGAATTTGGAGTAAATTCCAGAAATTACTTACTAGACAATGAGCTATTAGACCTATGAGTTACTCATGCTCTACCTTTTTTTTTTTTTTTTTGAGATGGAGTTTCACTCTGGTTGCCCAGGCTGGAGTGCAATGGCACAATCTTGGCTCACTGCAACCTCCACCTCCCAGTTGGTTTCAAGTGATTCTCCTGCCTCAGCCTCCCCAATAGCTGGGATTACAGGTGGCCATCACCACACCTGGCTAATTTTTTGTATTTTTAGCAGAGACAGGGTTTCACCATGTTGATCAGATGGTCTCAAACTCCTGACCTCAAGTGATCCGCCCGCCTGGGTCTCCCAAAGTGCTGAGATTACAGGCGTGAGCCACCGCGCCAGTCTCACACTCTATCGTTTAAATGTAATCTTAAGCAAAAGCAGCAGACACAGAAGAGGATGATTTCACTGATGAAAAGTTCAAGAAGTAACGCAACTCAGGCTTGGGGCTCCCTTAGGGGAGGAGGCACAGAGGCAGGGCCCACTCTTTCATCCGGGCGTGACTGCACGGGCATATATACTTGATGAAAATTCACGGAGTTGTGCAATATTTGATTTGTTTGGCATTTTTGTTTGAGTAGGAGAGGACAGAAGTATAGATATGAGATAAAGTCATTCAACAAACATTAAGTGAGCACCAACTACATGCAGGACTCCAGGTGAGTCCATAGAAACTGCACAATTTGTTAGCATAGGAGTTATACGAAAGAGAGAGCTGTGCTGGGCCTTAACTCCCTCTGAGGACTTATCCTCTGTACACCCATCCATTCCTCCACTGTCAGCACCGAGCAACGTTGGATATTCACCTGCTGGGTGCGGGGGAACTGTGTGGTGGCAACAGTCAAAGAAAAGGCCGCTCTCTGGGCAAGAGAGCAAGGATGCTCACTGGGCAAGAGCAGGGAGAGAGGAGTTTATGGAGGAAACTGAACGGGGGCTGGGCGCTGGGAAGTCAGTTCACAGGTGCTCAGCTGCTCCTGTGTGGAGGCGAAGGTGGTTCAGACATGGCATTCTGCACTAGCAAAGGCCTGGAGATGGCTGAGCACAGTGCGGGAGAGACTGACAGCAGCTCCACCAGAGTGGGACAGCAGATACGGGTGGCAGAAAATGAAATGGTAGAGCCCAGACTATGAATGGCTGGGAATGCCAGGCACCAGGATGGAGATGTGACCAAACCAGCATTTATTCACCACTGCAGCGAGCCTGGCAGTAAGGCCATAGGAACCACTGTGGGACTCTGGGCTGGCACACGATGGCTGAGGGGGAAGAGAACTGTGGCATGGCAGATGGGCACAGGATGAAGGCCCCTGTACCCCTGCTTTGCCACCAAGCCAATTCTGGGCTAAGCTGACTCCTTTTTTTTTCTGAGATGAAGTCTCACTCTGTCACTCAGCCTGGAGTGCAGTGGCGCAATCTTGGTTCACCGAAACCTCTGCCTCCTGGGTTCAAGTGATTCTCCTGCCTCAGTCTCTTGACTAGCTGGGATTACAGGTGCCCGCTACCACACCAGGCTGTTTTGTATTTTTAGTAGAGACAGAGTTTCACCATGTTGGTCAGGCTGGTCTCAAACTCCTGACCTCATCATCTGCATGCCTTGGCCTCCCAAGGTGCTGGGATTACAGGTGTGAGCCACCATGCCTGGCCTAAGCTGACTCTTGCAGGGAGGAAGGAGCTGATACTGGTGGCCCAAGAGGCCACTAGTGAGGAGGTGCTCTGTAGTGGCGTAAGCATTTCGCCTCCTCCTGCGTCACTTCACTCCTCAATTCCCAACGATCTCTTACCTCTTGGGAAGGGAGAATCACCACTATGGGCAGAGAGCCACCAACTCACCTCGACCCCTAACACATTGGAGGTTCCCAGTCTTTGGAGCTGGAAGGGCCATGGAGGACGCCTTGTTCAACCTGATTTTACTTGTCCAATTAGCCCAAGTCAGAGCTTCCTTCTGTGGGAAAGTTCTGGATAAGCTTTGAGGGCCCTGGGCTGGAGATCTACCCAATAAATGAAGTGGTCAAGAGCACAGTTAGGGGCAGGCTTGTTCCTCACCCCTAGAGACTTTTCCTACCTCTGATTGCATCTGAGGAAAGGCTTGATGTCAAAGCTGTCCTCCATGTCTATGTTAGCCCTAATGGGCACAGAAGCTCCGGAATGCCAGCCTGTCCATACCTGACGACCACATAAGTCTTTCTGTCCCATCTCACACAAATGTGTGTCCTCCGTACTTCTTGTGAACTGGGACAGTCAGCATTTAATTTAAAAAAAAAAAAAAAAAAAGGGCTTGGCATGGTGGCTCACACCTGTAATCCCAGCACTTTGGGAGGCCAACGTGGGCAGATCCCTTGAGCCCAGGGGTTTGAGACCAGCCTGGGCAACATGGCAAAACCCCATGTCTACAAAAAATGCAAAAATTAGCTGGGCATGGTGGTGTGTGCCTATAGTCCCAGCTATCTGGGAGGCTGAGGTGAGAGGATCACTTGAGGAGGCAGAGGTTGTAGTGAGCCGAGACTGAACCACTGCACTCCAGCCCAGGTGACAGAGCAAGACTCTGTCTCAGAAATAAACATAAGAAAAAGGTGTACTGCATCTGTGGCTTCGGTTCCCTCAGGCCTCCTTCCTCCTCCTCTCTGCCCTCCCCTCTGTTCCTTTCCCATTTGGGAGAATTGGGTTTGTATCTCCACTATGATTCCTTATTCTTCCCTACTTATGGGTGTATCTGCTTCATTAGCTAAGTTAGAAGAAATGAGATAATGGCAGGGGAGACAGCACATGTTATTTTGAACAGATATTGGATATTTACAGTCCTCAAGGGAGGAGAGAAGGACGAGAGTTCTTTAAGGCACTGCAGCAGCTTTCTCTTAAAAAAAAAAATTCTTGGCTGTGGGTGGTTAGGGGATGTGGAGGTGGAGCACAGGTGGTTTTTAGGGCAAGAAGTGACTCTGTGTGGCACTCTAGTGGGGGAGGCAGAAGGTACAATGCTGAGAGCGAACCCCAATGTAAACGATGGACATCAGATGATAACGCTGTGTTCGGGCAGGTTCAATTGTAAGAAACCACTCTGATGGGGGATGTGGATAGTGAGGGAGGCTGTGCGTGTGTGAGGGTACAGGGCAGTCTCTGTACCTTCCACTCAATTTTTCTGTAGACTAAAATTGCTTTAAAAAACAGTCTAAATAAAAAAAAAAAAGAATCTTTATTGATACATGTGGAAGCAACACTATGAAAGCTGTTCTCATCCTTATCACTCCAGTTTCCAACCCAGAGCACATCTGTCCGCATGTGAGTGGGGAATGACGACCAATATGCCTTTCTTTTGAATTTTTTGAGACAAGGTCTCACTCTGTCACCTAGGCTGTAGTGCAATGGTGCCATCATGGCTTACTGCAGCCTCGACCTCCCAGGCTCAGGTGTTTCTCTCACCTCAGCATCCTGAGTAGCTGGGACCACAGGTGCATGTCATGTACAAATTATTTTTGTAGAGATGGGGTCTCCTTATGTTGCCCCAGATCATCTCAAACTCCTGGGCTCAAGCAGTCCTCCTGCCTCAGCCTCCAAAATGTTAGGATCAGAGGCATGAGCCACCATACCCACCCAGGCCTTTCAAGAGTGATTTTTATGATATCCTCATGGGAGCAGGGAGGACCCTAACAATTTTTCCAAATGGAAGTATCTGCGACACATATATGGGGAGAATCAGGATGAGTGTGGAATGACTCGAGAAGCTTACTTTCCATGCAGCCTAAGCACACCATGTGGGCAGGGGACCCTGGGGTCCAGCGTCCAATCTGCAGGAGATGGGGCTGCCTCAGGAGGGTGGCAAGGTCACTCACCTCCTCCTTCTCTGGGCTGTTCCTCGATTCTACCTCCACTTGCAGGGAGATGGTCTCTCCAATGCTTCTCCTCTTGGATAAGCGATCCTCATCTGGGGAAGAAGCAGCCCAGAGGCTGGAGTTCCCAGTCCTCCGAGGTCCAGGACTGAGCTGCTAGCCCCACCTCCCAACCCCTCTGCCTCTGCTTGGCCCATAGTCCTCAGGCTCAGTGAACGCTCAGGCTACACCTGTAGTTTACAGAAGCTTCTGATTGCTGTGGGCCTTCTCCGTCCATCTTAGAGTGGTCAGTTTTGCTCTTTGGGGCTAATATGTTGAAATCATCAATGAGAACACAAAGAAGGTTCTTATGACCAGAATACATCGCACCTTACATGTAAACATCATCTGCTAACAGCACCAGTAGCTGTCGTCCATCAGTATTTACTAAGTGCATTTGCATTAATACAGGTACCTATCTCATCTACCTCTCACGCCAACCTTCTAAGGCAGCTATTGTGTTTTTTTGTTTTGCTTGTTGTTTTTGTTTTTGTTTTTTGAGATGGAGTCTCACTCTCTCGCCCAGGTTGGAGTGCAATGGTGCAATCTTGGCTTACTGCAACCTCCATTTCCTGGGTTCAAGCAATTTTCTTGCTTCAGCCTCTTGAGTAGCTGGGACTGCAGGCGCCTACAACCACACCCAGCTAATTTTTTGTATTTTTAGTAGAGATGGGGTTTCACCGTGTTGCCCAGGTTGGTCTTGAACCTTTGAGCTCAGGCAATCTATCCGCCTCGGCCTCCCAAAGTGCTGGGATTACAGGCATGAGCCACCACACCTGGCCAGCAGCTCTTGTTAATATCCCTGTTTTACAGTCAAGGAAACTGAAATTCATGATGTAAAGGACTTTTCTAAGATCTTTCAGGCAGTAAGTTGCACAAAGGTCTTGAACTGGGTCTCTGGTTCTGTAGCCATGTATGCTCTTTCCAGCACAACGGAGCCTCTCCCATCCTCAGGCCAGGCCATCTCATGGGCCAGGTACTTCCAAGGACCCTGCCCTGAGAAGAGGTGGGGCAATCAAGAGGGCCTCACCATAAACTCCCACTGTGTCTTTCAGCTCTCGTGACATCCAAGGTGCCTTACAGGCAATCAAAGGGCCACAAGTCCCTTATACTCAGGCCCTTAACTGGCCAAGGAAACAGAGAGGCAGGCTCGGGTGTCCCTGCACAGAGCTCATACCTGTCAGCTGAGGGATGTAGGGCAGGCAGAGCCGATCTGAATTGTAGCCACTGCCTCCCAAGACTTCACTGATCTTGCTCTGGCGGAAGAGGAGCTCAGTCACTACCCCATCAAGATTCTGAGACAGCCTGGAAGACAAAGGAGGGAGGAAGCACATTAGAATCATGATATCTAGAATGACTTCTGAATAACTTTTTTTTTCTGAGACAGAGTTTTGCTTTTGTCATCCAGGCTACATTGCAGTAGCGCAAACAGCTTACTGCAACCTTTGCCTCCTGGATTTAAGTGATTCTCCAGCCTCGAGCTCTTGAGTAGCTGGGATTACAGGAACCCACCACCACGCCTGGCTAATTTTTTGTATTTTTAATAGAGATGGGGTTTCATCATATTGGCCAGGCTGGTCTCGAACTCCTGACCTCAGGTGATCCACCCACCTCAGCCTCCCAAAGTGCTGGGATGACAGGCATGAGCCACCATGCCTAGCCAACTTTTCTCATTACAAAAGTAACATCTTCACTATGGAAGATGACAGAGAAGTAAAAGGAAGAGTCACCCCTGGTCCCATTTCCAGAGATAACCACTATTCACATGTTATAATGTATTCTTATGCACAACAACTGCATCCTTCAGTTACTGTTTTTTTTAGAGACAGGGTCTCACTGCATTGCCCAGGCTGGAGTGCAGTGGCTGTTCACAGGCACCATCATAGCACATTACAGCCTTGGCCTGCTGGGCTCAAGTGATCTTCCTGTTCACCCTCCCAACAGGCATGCTCCACCACACCCGGCTTTTATTTATTTAATTGTTATTTTTTAGACTGAGTCTCTCCCTGTCGTCCAGGCTGGAGTGCAGTGGCACGATCTCAGCTCACTGCAACTTCCACCTCCCAGGTTCAAGGGATTCTCCTGCCTCAGCCTCCCAAGTAGCTGGGATTACAGGCACGTGCCACCATACCTGGATAATTTTTGTATTTTGAGTAGAGACAGAGTTTTGCTGTGTTGGCCAGGCTGGTCTCCAACTCCTGATCTCAAGTGATCCACCCGCTTGAACCTCCCAAAGTGCTGGGATTTCAGACATGAGCCACTGTGCCCGGCCTAATTTTTCTTTTTCTTTTTTTGAGACAGAGTCTTCCTCTGTCACCCAGGCTGGCGTGCAGTGGCACGACCTCAGCATACAGCAACTTTTGCCTTCTGGGTTCAAGCAGATTCTCCTGCCTCAGCCTCCCGAGTAGCGTAGCTGGGACTTCAGGTGCGCACCACCGCACCTGGCTAATTTTTGTATTTTTAGTAGAGATGGGGTTTCCCTATGTTGGCCAGGATGGTCTTGAACTCCTGACCTCAAGTGATCCACCCACCTCTGCCTCCCAAAGTGCTGGGATTACAGGCATGAGCCACCGCACTCAGCCCAGGCAAATTTTAAAAAACTTTTTTGTAGACATGGGTTCTTGCTTTGCTGCACATGGTTGTCTGGAACCCATGGGCTGGAGAGAGCCTCCTGCTCTGTCTTCTGAGTCACTGGACCTGCAGGTGTGAGCCACCACACCCAGCTTAGCCACATATTTTTACGTATACAGATAGATATCCCCGTCCCCACCTGCTGTTCTGTGATCTATTTTATTGACCTATTATGTAGTGGGTATTTTACATTAAATATTCTTCCAAAACATTGGCACACTTGTCTGTTGTATGGATGGGCCATGATTTATAAAGCCATCCACTACTGTGAGAAATTTTGGTTTTGCAAAATATCGTTCCCTTGAGTTCCTCTGATGTTGAAGTGACACTGGCCCATAGCACCCACGATGGACCGAAAACATCACTTGGATTGACAGTGACGTCTTGTCAGGAATGACTCCTTCAGGATGCATTTGCCATGGGCTTGGCCAAAGCCCCCAGAGGCTGTGCTTCACCTGCAAACACAGCTCAGCATTGCACGCTCGAGGCATGGACTGCAGTAATGGGATGGGGTTTAGCTTTACCCAGGACTTCCGGACCCCAGGCAGAGCCCACCTTCTGCCCTTGAGTCTGCAGAAGGCCGAGCCTCCTGGCATTGACCCCTCCTGGCCTCAGGCCACCCACCTACTTACTCAGCTGCCCTGGGGATCCCTGACCAGGCCCCCAGTCCTCTCCTCACCTGGGCCTCTCCACAAACACATCCTCGGGGAGCATATATGGAGCTTGTTTCTTCCTGGTCTCTATCACCTGGTGGTTGGGAGGAATCAGATGATAAGAGCTGGTTCAGCAGGGAGAGGGAGCTCACAGGCAATGAAAGAACCCCCATGCCAGGCTCAGCACTTCCTCCCTCCCACAACCTCCTCAGCACAGTGTCTGAAACTGAGCTTCTCCAGTGGAAACTCCCAACAACAAATACCCTCAGAGCAGCTGGAGAGGCCTAGGAGGCCTGCTCAGCCCATGGCCATCAATGACACATGTGCACTAGGTCTCCTCCATATGTAGGGAACTTAGCTCTTAAGAGACTGCAGCTTCTGGCTCTGGTGTCTCATTCCTATGCTTTTTTTGTTTTTGAGACAGAGTCTTGCTCTGTTGTCTAGGCTGGAGGGCAGTGGCACAGTCTTCGCTCACTGCAGCCTCCACCTCCCAGGTTCAAGCGATTCTCCTGCCTCAGCTTCCTGAGTAGCTGGAATTACAGGCATGCACCACCATGCCTGGCTAATTTTTATATTTTTATTAGAGGTTGCCTAGGCTGGTCTTGAACTCCTGACCTCAAATGATTCACCTGCCTTGGCCTCCCAAAGTGCTGGGATTACAGGCATGAGCCACTGCCTCTAGCTTGCTAGTATATTTTAAAGTTAATCCTGTATGTTGGTATCATTCGATCTCTAAACAATTCAGTGTGTTTTGAAAGATCTTTATGCAACAACTGAGAACACATCTGACTATAGAATGGGTGTCAGATAACACCAAGGAATTGGTGATGACTTAATAAGCTGTGTTAAGAGCATGGCAATCACGTAGGGAGGCGCTCATGCTGTTTCAGACGTGCAGACTGATACACTGCATGAAAGGACAGGGTAGCTGGGATTTGTTTTAAAATGTTTGTTTTAAAGTATTTACAATTTGTTCAGCAAAGGAAAAGAGAAGGAGATAGATGAGGCCTATGGGAAGAAATTTTCATATCTGTTCATTTCATCTGTGTGGCCGTGAATGGACGTTCGCTCACCATTCTACTCAGGCCACTTTTGCGGTATTTCATAGCTTTAGTCTGCATGATCTGAGGTATGTGTGCCGATGTGTTCCCGTGAGTAGGGGAAGACAGAGGGGCAGGAAGTGGAGGGGGCAGACAGTAGGTTAGAAACAGGTATAGGAGACCCCCCCAACCCCTGTGCCTAACTCCACCGTGCTCTGCCAAGTCATACAGGAAGGAAAGGTGCCATAAGTAACTAACTTCTCACCATGAGCAGTTCTTACTTCAACCGTGTCTTCACTGTGTAAGACTAGGTACAGAACTAACACAGTTAAGCAAAAGCTGTTCCCAGGAACCCCAAGTTGAGGGCCCCCTGAGTTCAAGCTATTCAAGTCACGAGGACACCAACCTCATGGATGTGCTGGCAGAAGGCAGGCACTGTTGTGAGCTGGCTGATGAGGTTCAGGTAGGCTGCGCCCAGAGCGTAGAGGGCACAGCGGTTGTAGACGGGCAAGTTCTCCTCATTGACCTGGGCTACGTCCTGCAGCAACACAGACACGGCCTCCGGAGTTTTTCACTGACAAACTACACTGGGTGCCAATCCTCCACCCAACCCCTTCCCAATCTTCTTTAGAAATGCTTTCTTTCCTAGACGAAGTCTTTCTCAGCATTTGACCCATAACTTCCTGGGGGAAAAAGTTGCCTTCATTAAAGGAAGGGAAGGGTCCCTAGAACAATCCATGAACTGTGAGGCTTTTAAGTACTCACAGACTATAGAGGCAACGACCTCAACTCCCCGCTCTGCAATTCTAGCTGTAGTGACCTCTCCTGCCCACACCCCCATCATTAATCCCACTGCTAGGTGCTATCTCCTTCACTATAGCTGATTCCTAGAGGACTGGATTAGCTGGTTAAACTGGGTTCATATGTTAAGCTAAAATAGCTGTTAGAGTTACCAGGGGAATGGGACACAAAGGAACCCCAAATTCTAACTCTTTTTATTTTCTTTATTTTTAAGATGGGGTTTCACCATGATGGCCAGGCTGGTCTCGAACTCCTGACCTCAGCTGATCCACCCACCTCGGCCTCCCAAAGTGCCAGGATTACAGGCTTGAGCCACTGCGCATGGCCACTCTTAAGGGTAGAGTTAAAAAGAACTGCAGCAGGCCGGGCGCGGTGGCTCAAGCCTGTAATCCCAGCACTTTGGGAGGCCGAGGCGGGTGGATCACGAGGTCAAGAGATCAAGACCATCCTGGTCAACACGGTGAAACCCCGTCTCTACTAAAAATACAAAACATTAGCTGGGCATGGTGGCGCATGCCTGTAATCCCAGCTACTCAGGAGGCTGAGGCAGGAGAATTGCCTGAACCCAGGAGGCGGAGGTTGCGGTGAGCCGAGATCGTGCCATTGCACTCCAGCCTGGGTAACAAGAGCAAAACTCCGTCCCAAAGAACAAAAAAAAAAAAAAAAAAAAAAAAAAAAAAAAAACCCCCCAAAAAAAAAAAAAAAAAAAAAAAAAAAAAAAAGAACTGCAGCATCTAGGTTGACCCTGCAGGATTTTAGCACCATCAGACAGGTGGTCTAAGACTCTGTCACTGAATTCCCAGGGTTGCCCGATTCAGAACTATGATGCCCGCCTGGCTTCAGCACCCTGGAGACCCAGACTTTGAGGTCCAAAGGACCCACCCTGACTCCCAGTAGCCTTGGGTGTACACTTGTAACCAGGAAGACCAGGAAAGTCTCAAGTCCTGCCTGGTGCCACACTGGCTGCCTACGAATCACAAAGGAGGCTTGGTAGACAGGCCCCCAGGCTTTGAGACTGTGACTTATCTTTCCAGGAAATGTATACTTTAAACAAGTGCTCAAAGCAATTCTGAAGCACAGCTCAGATTTTGGGAACCACAGAATCTTTTTTTTTTTTTTTTTAGAGGGAGCCTTGCTCTGTTGACCAGGCTGGCATGCAGTGGCACGATCTTGGCTCACTGCAACCTTGGCCTCTAGGGTTCAAGTGATTCTCCTGCCTCGGTCTCCCAGGTAGCTGGAACTACAGGCGCACACCACTATGTCCGGCTAATTTTTTGTATTTTTAGTAGAGACGGGGTTTCACTATGTTGGCCAGGCTGCTCTCAAACTCTTGACCTCAAGCCATCCGCCCACCTTGGCCTCCTAAAGTGCTGGGATTATAAGCATGAGCCACTGTGCCTGGCCAAGGGAACCAGAGAATCTTTAGGCAAATGAGTTTGTCTGGGATCACTCAGGGCTTACGAGCATCCTCTTAGGAATCCTTGGAGTTTCACTCAGCTCTGTGAGAGAATCAACATACTAGTAGCTAAGTGACACTTCTGAATGATCTGGTTGTCTGGGTCTTCTTTAGCTTGAGGATAGGCCAAGGGCACAAATGAAGCATTCTTTGGGGTTCCCCAACCAGGACCATGATTTGGGGTCTTCAGGGAGGAGTGGCCAACCACGAATGCAATATTCCTGGGTTCCAAAACGACTGTTAAGCAGTTGCCACTCAATATTTTTATCAGGGGTTGGCCAGAACAGGTCCCTCCCCTGATCCCAAGCCCCACACCCTGTGCACACCAGGCCCTACCTGAACAGCCAGCACCAGACGGATGAGGTCCACCACCACCTCCTCGTTGGCCAGCTCGATGCTGATGAGGGCCAGCAAGCCATAGAGCGCCTCATAGTGTTTCTGCACATTTGTTTCCTCCTTGCAGCTCAGGTAGATGTGTCTGTAGAGCTGCTGGGAGTGCTGGGGATGGGGGCGGGCAGGGGAAGGCCGGGGTGGGTAGGATAGGGACAGGAGGGGCAAGGAGAACAGGGAGGAAGACCAATCTGAAGATGAGGGGGATGGCTGTGTGTGCCCCCTCCTCCCTTGGGGAGGGGATGCCTTTACAGCAGACTCCAGCAGAAGTGGACACACACAGGAAGGCTTGTGTAGGGAAGGTTGGGTTCTAGGGAAACCAGCAATAGAAGCTGCTGCCCAAATCCAGGGGTAGGAGCAGAACACAGTGACTGGCCCTTGACTGGCTCATCCCTCTGGGTTTGACTCCTAGAGAGGCCAGCCGGTCAATCTGACCATGAGGGAGGAGGCATAGCCAAAGAGGGAAGAGGCAGGCTCCAGGGGCAGTCAGTGGTCACCAGTGACTTTTGCTCTGTCACCCAGGCTGGAGTACACTGTCACAATCTCGGTTCACTGCCACAATCTCGGTTCACTGCAATCTCCACCTCCTGGGTTCAATAGATTCTCCTGCTTCAGCCTCCCAAGTAGCTGGGATTACCGGTGCCCACCACCATGCCTGGCTAATTTTTGTACTTTTAGTAAAGAAGGGGTTTTACCATGTTGGCCAGGCTGGTCTTGAACTCCTGACCTCAAGTGATTCATCTGCCTCAGCTTCCCAAAGTTCTGGATTACAGGTGTGAGCCACTGCACTCGGCCTTCACTGTGTCTTGAGGACATGCTTGCTTACCTTCTTCATGAAGACGGTGTCTTGTCGAGAGCACTTGTCCACTTTCAGCTTTAGGACAGAGATGTCACTGAGGGTACTGGGACGGGATGCAAAGGGCCTCCTTAGCTCTTGTACGAGGCCAGCCTGCACTCACAGGGGGTCACTGGGCTTTATCCCCAACACCGTTAGTCGGTACAAAGCCTCCAGTGCTCCCTGGCCCTGGTTCTTACCCTAATTACCTTTTCCTCTCAAGTTCTCAAGAATTTGTCCCTTTATCTTTCTCTCTCTTTTTTCTTTTTGAGACAGGGTCTTATTTTGTCACCTAGGCTGGACTGCAGTGGCTCAGTGATCACAGCTCTCTGCTGCCTTGACCTCCAGGGCTCAAGCAATCCTCCCAACTCCGCCTCCCAAGGAGCTGGGATCACAGGTGCGAGCCACCACACTCAGCTAATTTTTAAATTTTCTTGTAGAGATGAGGTCTCACTATGTTGCCTGGGCTGGGCTGGAACTCTTGGGCTCAAGTGATCCTCCCGCCTTGGCCTCTCAAAGTGCTGAGATTATAGGCATGAACCACCACACCTGACCCCTTTTTCTTAAATCTTCACTCTGATTATTCTCTTCCTCTTCTTATCCCCACCAGGTCCTTTCAGTCTCCTGATAACGCTGTACCCCTTCCTCCTCACACTTGCAAACTCCCTTTAGTGACACCTCTCTATCTTCCAGATCTTCAGTCCACGCTCCTCCTCTCCCAGACGCAAGTGCCCTTTGGTCTCTCCTCCCCTTGCAGGACCCCAGGGTCAATGTTGGTGATCAACTCCCTGGAGAGTCTCACTGAGTAGCTGAACTGTCCTCCCGTCTGGGTGTGAGGCTACTGGTCCAAAGGACAGAACCTACTGGAGAGTCCTCTCCCCATCTTGCATCACCTGAAGGAGACACCCCAAATTCACCTGATGGTAGAGAACTTGTGGCGGTTGCCATGACGATCAATGAAACTGATGAGAATCTCTAGAACAAAGAGTCGAATTTCTGCATCCTCCATGAGGGCGGTGGAGAGGAGGCGGTCCAGGAAGTTGCTGGGCAGGGCTGACATCATGTTGTTGCACTGGAAACCTGTGGATACCTGCAAGGGAGGCATGACAGGTGTGCCTAGGAACGCTGTCCCTCTCAGGTGCAGGAGGAGATGGAGGAGCAGCCAGTGGAAGTCCGATCTGATGTATACATCCTCTCTAGACATCGCCCAATCCAGCCTCCCCTACCCTGTAGCCCAGGCAATTTTTTGAACACTCCAACATTCACCTAGATGACATTGAGTTCAGTAGACATGTGAATGGATGGGGACAGCGTGCAGGGACATTAGGGTGTTAAAAGCAAGCAAAGGATGAGCCCTGGAGGGAAGCAAAAGCCGGGCAATCTCTGAACCTAACATTCCAGCCAGTTAGGGCACAACTGATGAACAGCCACCAGGAACACAATGCCTCATTAAGAGTAGGACCGTCACAAAGAACGAGACAGTGGAAGAACTCACAGCTGGGCTGATGGATCAGAACTCATACACATGGCAACCACCAAATAGTGCACACAGGTAGCATCTGGTAACATGACTGTTAGCATGGCAATAATGGGGCATTGTGACTAAAGCCAATTTGGCATAAATAGACGACATGCCATATATGCTGTCTTCAAAGCATTGAAATGCAGCCAAGCACTTTTCCTGTTAAATCCATATTGCAAAGCAATGACTTTGATGATTCAGAAGGTCCCTGAGGATGTACCCCACACTGTCACCTTAAGAAGATGCTGGGTACAGGCTGGGCACAGTGGCTCACGCCTGTAATCCCAGCACTTTGGGAGGCTGAGGCGGGTAGATCACCTGAGGTCGGGAGTTTGAGACCAGCCTGACCAACATGGAGAAACCCCATCTCTACTAAAAATACAAAATTAGCCAGGCATGGTGGCGCATGTCTGTAATCTCAGCTACTCAGGAGGCTGAGGCAGGAAAATTGCTTGAGCCTGGGAGGTGGAGGTTGCAATGAACTGAGGTTGTGCCATTGCACTCCAGTCTGGGCAACAAGAATGAAACTCCATCTCGAGAAAAAAAAAAAAAAGATGCTGGGAACAAATTAGTGAGGGTAAACTCAGAAAAAAAAAAAAATGGCAGGAATATGGAGCCCAAGCTGATAACTATATGAGGACAGTGCTGGAGCACAAAGGTTTATAAAAATCTAGTGCCGTGGAGTGTGGACTAGAGAGGAGGGGAGGGAAGGCATGAGGTGGCGGGTGGGGGAGTCTGTTTAGGCTGGCATGGCGAGAACAGAGACAGAGACTGAGAGACAAGATGGGAGGTCTAGGGAGGGAGAAGGGACTGGGGACCTCCCAACTTCAGTCTGAGAAGTTTGAAATCTGATTGTACATCAATTATAAACTGAGGCTGGGCACAGTGGCTCACACCTGTAATCCCAGCACTTTGGGAGGCAGAGGTGGACAGATCACTTGAGGTCAGGAGATGAAGACCAGCCTGGCCAACATGGTGAAACTCCATCTCTACTAAAAATATGAAAAATTAGTCAGGTGTGGTGGCAAGTGCCTGTATTCCCAGCTACTTGGGAGGCTGAGGCAGGAGAATCGCTTGAACTTAGGAGGCGGATATTGCAGTGAGCCGAGATCGCACCATTGCACTCCAGCCTGGGCAACAAAATCAAAACTCTGTTTCAAAAAAAAAAAATTATAAAGTGAGATCTACTCTGAAATAAGAGGTACCTTGTAGAGAACAGCATTTCTAGACAATTCTTCTTGTAGCTGAGTTTATGCTAGCTGAGGAGGGGCGGTTGTGGGATGTTGTGTTTAGGCCAGGGGTTGTGCTTCAAAATAACCTGGGGAGCTTGTTACAAATACAGATTCTAGGACCTCACTCAGGCTAACAGCTCAAAACCTCTGGGGAATTAATATATTTATCACAAGATTGGCATCGGAATGGTGTTCGAGAGCAATGGATCTAGACTCTAGTGATGGCTGCAAAAATGTAAAGAAGAGTTACATAAAACACTGAGGATGGGAAGGATGGGGGCTGGGGGACTGACGTGGGCAAATGTGCCAAGAACACATGCTGGCAAAACAGGGGAAACAGAGGGGGAAAAGGGAAAGAGGGGGTACCTGGAGGGAACCAGGGCGGGAATCAGCAGATTCCATCTCAAGACAGACCATGTCTGAGTGACAAGGCTATCCGTAGCCAATAAGGAACCTTTGTGAAAATTAGAAACAGGTGCCCCACCTGCTCTGGCTGACCCAGCTCTGGGAGTGCCCAGCCTGGCTAGTGAGTGGAGCACAGGCTAGATTTCAGCCCCCATTCAAATGACTGGGAGTATTTGTGTAGTAAGCAACCTGCACGGCTGTGTGTGGAGGCCTTCACTTGGTCCCTTGGAGCTGTCTCCTGCAGAGGAAGAGCAGGAATAGGGATAGATGGGGCTCACCTGCAGGAGGGATTTTAGCAGCATAATCTGGGTCAGTCGGTTCCTGTTCTCCCTGTAGACCAGAGACACAAACACTCAACGGGACTGTAATGGGGTGGAGATCCCACACTTGACAGCTTAGTTCTACCCCTGCTTCGTTTCTTCATGAGGCTTATCATCTTGGGTTACCCAGGACAGTGACTTCTGGACCCAGGAAGCAGACCAAGGGGTGATGGGCTCCCCCCATGGTGGTAGGTGGTTATTGGTGGAGCAGCCTGAGAAATTGTCGTAGGATCCACGAGCCCCACGAGCTGCTGAGGGATTTGAGAGTAAAAGGAGAGCAGAGGGCTGAGACAAGAAAGTTAAGAGGGATAAAGGAGGGGATCAGAAAATGCCGCTGGGAGAGGAGGACTCCGGGCTGGGGGAGATTGGTGGCTCACCCTGTCCTGCCCGTGTCCACCGCCTGGTGCAGGGACGGCAGCGGGACCTTGCTCATGATGAAGAGGATCACCTCGGAGCGCTGGTAGGTGGGCAGCGTGCTGGCAAAGGAGCCTGCGGGAGGTGGGGGAGAGGGCGTCCAGTGAGGCACAAGCTCCAGGGCCCCTCCTGGTTCAGCCTTTCAGTTGCACAAACACCTGCAGAGAGCGAGGGCTGCTGCTCTCTGGAGTCAATCCAGGCCCAGAGAAAGGAACCCAGGATGGCCCGGGTGTGATTCGGCCTCTCTGGTAACGGGAGGCATCAGGTGGCTCTGGAGGTCTCTTCCAGGCTCCGTTTTTTCTCTTGTTCCTGAGGCTGTGGTTAAGGTCTTGGCTCCTTGGCTAGTGGGTGGGGATGATGAATGCTGGGCCGTGGGACCAGGGCAGGGAGAGCCTAGTTCTCGCTGGGCGCTTGTTTCACCGGCTGCCCTAGGGTAAATCCGCCTCCCACGAACAGCGGCTTCTGCATTCCTGCCCTGCCTAAGTCTCCAGGCTGAGGGGAAGCTCACATGGCCAGGACAGGCAGGCTGTGAAAACGGCTTTATCTCCGCTCCCAGGAGCACACACACTTTCTTCCTGGCCTGCCCCCTTCCTCAACCTTTTTTCTTAGTCCCCACCTCTCCATCCTGGAGGCCCAAACCTGGAAGCACCAGGGAGGTTTGATGGAGACTGGGCTAAGGAAGGTCTGAGACTTCGGACCTGGAAAACCATCCGACTGTTCTGTGCTGTCGCTCGGGCCCTGCCCAGGCAGCGGACCAAGGACCAACTTCATTTTCTCCGATGTCTGCGAATAGCATGTGGGTGCTGGACAATCCTACAGCACGCGGATGGGTGCCCTTCGCCCCAGTGCGGCGCCTCCCTCTCCAGCTCCCATCCCCGGGCCGTCCCCGGGGCCTCGCCCCTTTCGAGGGTCCCTCGGGCCTCCCCTCGGCCCCGCCCAGCCCCTGGCCCCGCCCCACGCCTAGGTCCCTCCCAGCCCCTGGCCCGCCCCGCGCTGCCCCTCGGCCCCGCCCCGCGCCGCACCGACAGTCTTGATGACGGCCTCCTGGAACATGCGCTCTTCGTGCTCCTTGATGATCTTGGTGCCGAGGCTGACCGCCCCATCGTAGCTCCCGGTCAGCGCGTAGTCGATGCTGAGCCGCAGCTGCCTCAGCAGCGTGTTGAACATCTCCAGCACCGTGGGCCCTGAGCGTGGCAGAGCGGGACACCCGAGATCCAGGGCTGGCACCCTCCTCCTCCCTGCACCTAGCGCAGGCAGGGCAGGCCCAGGCCGCCTTCCAGCCTGGGCTTCCTCTGTGCCACCAACTTCCCGGCGGACTTCTCCCGAGGAAAACGGCCTCCAACCCCTACTTGTTGCCCCTTGCCTCTCTCTGGAAGAGGCAGCAGCCTCCGCGGGGTCCCCGGCCCTCAGGCCCTCGCTATGCCCCTTACCCACAGAGCCAGTGGCTGCGATGACCGCGGCTTCGGACAGGACCTCCACGATGCCCGCGCGCACCGTCGCGGCGCTGCGGCTGTTGGCGTCCAGGTGGCCCAGGAGCTGCTGGATAACCAGGTGGGAGTGCTGCGGCTGCGGGAGGAAGATGAGCTGGGCCTGGACAGCAACCCCACGGGGCCCCTGGGCCGCACAGCCCTCTCCTGGCACCCAAAGGTGGGGGTCAACTAAAGGGACGTCCCAAGGCCCCAGACACTGCAGGTGGCACTGACACCTCGTGCCCTTCCTGGATCCTTCCCTCCTCCCTCCAACAAAGAGACAAATCCAGGCCAGAGTGGTGGCTCACGCCTGTAGTCCCAGCACTTTGCGAGGCGGAGGCTGGCAGATCACAAGGTCAGGAGTTCAAGACCATCCTGACCAACATAGTGAACTCCGTCTCTACTAAAAGTACAAAACTTAGCCAGGTGTGGTGACAAACGCCTGTAGTCCCATCTACTTTGGAGGCTGAGGCAGGAGAATCACTTGAATCTGGGAGGTGGAGGTTGCAGTGAGCCAAGATCATGCCACTGCACTCTAGCTTAGGCAACAGAGTAAGACTTC